CTTCTCACATTCGGTCTCAAATAGTGCAGTTTCTTCATCCCTCTTACACTTCGTGACATTGAATCTCAGCAGCCATTTCTTCGACCATTCTTGGGAGTTCACAGAGATCCTTCTGCAGCTCTTCACAGTCCACAAGGATCTTGATTTCCCAAAATAACTTGGAGTCATCGGGAAACATTTATATGAAGGCGCGTACAACGTCAGACATGTCATTTACGAAACAAACAAACTACAGCGAGCCCAATACACTGTCCTGTGGTACCCCGCTTGTGACAGGTAAGGAGAATGATTTCGTGCCATTAATCACCACACACTTGCGGTCATGTAGAAAGTCTTCTATCCACGCTAGGACATTTCCTGAATTCCGTACCCTTCCAGTTGGATTTTCAGCCTTTCGTGGGGTACACTGTCGAAAGCCTTGGCAAAATCGAGGTAAATATTGTCAATATTACCACCCGTTCCAGAATATTGGTCCAAATTGTGTTAAGCAGGAGCGCCCCGACATAAAACCGTGTTGGTAATCCTTTTCAAGGTAGTTTCGTAGTAGATGTTCCATCGCAGCATCTCTGATAACACTCTCAAGTACTTTACATATTATGCTGGTCAGGCTCACTGGTCTATAGTTGTTCGTGGAGTGACTATCGCCCTTCTTGAAGATAAGACTCACATAAGCCACTTTCCATTCACTGAGGACCATTTGTTCATCCAGGCATTTACAAAACAGGATCTTCAGGGGCTCGGCAAGCTCGTTGCACAACTCTCTTAGCACTCTGGGATGCACCATGTCTGGGTTGGGACTCTTATGGACCTTTAGCTTTGACAGTTTATTTCTAATACCCTCTTCTGTGAACACAATGTGGGTCAGTGCTGTGTCGAACCGTCTGTCTTCAAATGCAAAAAGGTTAATCAAATCCTCTCTTGTGAACATCGAGGAAAAGAAGCTGTTCAATGCCTCACCTTTCTCCTGGTCAGAATCTGCGTAACTACCATCTTCAAGCCTCAGGTCTCATACTCCTACTCGCGTTTTTAATTTCGACTTTGCATAGCGGTAAAACACCTTTGGGTTTGACTTGACCTCTCTTGCAACCAGCCTCTGGAACTCCTTTTCAGCCCTTCTACACTCTATTTTTGCTTGGTTTCTGGCTCTTGCATACATCTTCCTGTTCTGCTCATCGTTTGACCCAACCCACGTCTTGAATTTCTAGTTTTTCTTCTTAACTTTGTCGACCGCCGCATGGTTCCTGTGTAGGGATTCCCTCGTATTCCTTGGGGCACCGGGTTTGGTCTTGGGTATATATTTATCGATCAAATGGGTCACTTTACTAGCTATGATATTCAGCGTAGTGTCTGCGTTCTTGTGTCTTAATGAATCAGGCCAGTTGATACCCCTCATCTCTTACTTCATCCCATTGTAATTTCCCTTGTAATATTTGCACCATGGCCTGGCCTTATCTTGAACTAGGTAATAGTTAAATCTGAATAACAAAACTATATGGTGACTGGTGCCAACTGGGGCATGGTGTTCCAGTTTGGTCACCATACCCTTCTCGTTTGTTATGATGAGGTCAAGTGGCTTGGGTGTTTGCTCCCCTCTGTAATGTGTCGGGTCTCTAACATGTCGGAACAAAAAATTATCTCTCAGAGTTTCTACAAAAAGAGTAGCGGGGTTATTCAAGTCATTTGAGGTGGACTCGTTTCTCCAGTCGATGTCGCCATAGTTAAAGTCCCCCATGATAAGGAGGTGGCTAGGGTTGAGCATCGCCGCATTGTTTATTAAGGTTCTTAAGTTCCTTTGATTTAGTGGGCCACAGTTTGGGGATCTGTAGATACACCCGACGATAAGTAAGTCCCCTCCCTTTAATTTAATTTTACACCACTTGGACTCTTCAAAAACATCCTCTCCCTGTACCCTCGCCTGGCTGGCTCTAAGGTCTTGCCTAGCGTAGATAACCACACCCCTCCTGCAGGATTCTTGAGTTAGGTTCGTAAATGAGTCATATCCAGCAATACTGAACTCACATTCCTCTGGGTCGATTCTCCTGTTCTTGTATAACAGTTCTACAACTCTTACAATATCTGGTTGGTGTACCTTCAGTAGTGTTTCAAACTCCTCTCTTTTATCAAGGAACGTGTCAGTATAAGTGTACATGACATTCAAGCTAGAATTTGTTCTCGGTAACGTCTCTGCTCTTAGTAGTAACTCCGACCCCCCTCCATTCTCAGAAGTTGTGTAATTTGCTAAGTACACTGTATTTGCATGGAGTGGTTAGAAATGCCATTGTTTACACAACGCTCGCCTCCTCCCGGCTGATAGGCGGAGCTGCTGCCACCTCCCAGGTGGGGGGTAGAGCGGGTTATGGGTACGCTGCTGCCCCCTGGCTCTGTGTCGGCACACTTGCTTCCACTACCTTCCCCCTGAATATAACCCATGTACACCCGTACCTGCTCCTCCTTGACTCCTCCCTCTTCTGCTTCAAGTCCTGCAGGAGCTTCTTGTGCTGTTCCCTCTGCATTACCGTGCGATCTGGGTGAATGAATATACTCCGAGATGCCTCGCTCCTTGCTAAGTATTTTGCCTGCCGAATAACCTCCCATTTCTCCTCCTCACTCACTAGTGTGATCCTGAGGGGGCGAGTCTTATGCCCCTGCTTTTGTCCCAGCCTCCTCATATCCTGTGGGGTTCATGGCATCTTCAGAACCTCTGTACAAATATTCTTAAAATTCTTAAACTACATCTTATCGTGTGTTACCTTACTCTCAGTTCCCTCCGCCTGGCTCTCTGGGACTCCAAAAACTATTACTATACATTGTTCCTGTCCTGGAAACGTTCTCGTTGTTCCTCCTCTCCCCTTCTTCAGAGTCCCTAGCTGCTGTAGAACCTGTTCTGATCCAGCATTACTATCCGCCACCTCCTGTGGCCCTGCTAAGGCCTCAGCATAACTCTTCTTACCAACCACCTCCATTCTATCGGCTACTTCCTCAGTCTTAGCAAGGATCTCTTTCCCAACTTGCTCTAATTTGGCAACCAGCAAGGCTCCAGCTTCATCTATTTTTGTCCCTAGGAAACTCGTTCCCTTATGGCTTGCAATCGCCTCTTTCACCTTGACATGCAGTCAGGGCAATACCAGCAACAGCCTTCATGCTTTACAGCCGTTTTCATCTTTCTAAACGTTGCATCCGTCATCGCCCCGCAGTAGTCACAAATCATCATATCACTCGTGGTTGTTGTTGTTGTTGTTGTGGGGGGAGGAGAGGGGGGGTGCAGATTGTGTATAGATCTACACCTATTTAAAAATAAAGAAAAAACAGTACTTAGCTCCCCTCTGCTGGTTTTAACCTCGTTGTTGCCTTTAGGGTTGTGCTTCTGTTATCTTCTCTTCATTTTACTGCATTTTTTATTTTCTCAGTTCACTTCGGCGGTTTGTCAGTATTCATGTGCTATCTCTATGTACAGTACACTGCATTTTGCTACGAGTAACGGATTTTATACACCCATTCAGTCCTTTAGAAGCACAGAAAAATAAAAGTTTCTTTGGTACGGTAATAGAATGCCTTTAAGGATAGCCAAGCTTGTCGATTTTATTTTTATTTTTTATTTTAACTAGTATTTCCTTATACGTACTTTCTTTTCCCGTTCTCATCGACGACTACATCTCTTTGTGCTATCACTGTGTACACTGTATCTCCCTGTGAATGGTGTATTATAGGCACAGTTTCAGTCCATGAGAAAGCACACAAACAAAATAAAATTACGTCTCTGTGGCCCCTATAACACGACTTGGTCTCTCCTGGCAGTGGTGCCTTACCAGCTTGCTTGCCAGTTTGTATTCACTTTAAGTTATTTACCTCTTCTGCAGTCACTGATGACACTATGAACTGATTTACCTAAAAGCACAGTACTACACTCCCTGGCTGGCCTTTATCACAGTCGTGACCACAACTCTGTAAAAAAAAAATCTAAAAATCTTTGTCATATGGCAATGATTTTGTGGTTGTAAGCTTCCTGACCTGTATGTACAGTACCTCCAACTCGGTGGAGATTGAGTTTTCAAAAATACAATCGCGTCTAGCATTAAAAATCCTACATTGATTTACACTTTCACATCACTAAGACGAACTTAATGTTCTTATGTAATCACTGTCCAATTTCTGCCGATCAACAACGAAGGCCCGAATGCCGAACACGCCTTATTACAGAGAAGCAACATAACCCGACCCGCAACGACCCTCATAGTATATTTAAGCAAATATACGAAAATCTGTAAACTTTTCATAACCTTAAATAACAATGAATTGTTTATTATTATAAATATTCTTCCTTTGGATTGTTTAATATCTATCCTGACAGTGATACAGCCGAAAACAGATCCACCAATCACAATCACCTTTACATACAGCCTTCCTTTACTAAGTATTGCCAGGTAAAATTGCGAGCACGAGACCCAGGGTGGGGTCGGTGCATTTTGGCCTGACATACATCACGTCTTAGAGCGTCCTGTTTACATCATGTTTGACCTGTGTTGTTGTGAGTATTTTTATCGAGCATTATCAAGCCTAGTTCTTGATGATTCTTGTTTGTTAGCTCTTATTTGTGACCATGGTTTAATTAACTCAATATTAAGGTAAGTTCTTTACGATTTTCTATTAGCATTATATTAAACAAAGATATGGAAATGACAATGTATAAAACCTAACAGAACCTGACCTAACAAACCCAGGGTTGTTAGGTCAGGTTCTATTAGGTCTTATACATTGTCATTTCCATTTCTGTGTTTAATATCATGCTATTAGCATCATTAAACATAAATTAACACGATAATGCATAGAACCTGACCTAACAAACCCTGGGTTTGTTATGTCAGGTTCTGTTAGGTTCTACTCATTGTCGTTTCCATTTCTGTGTTTAATATCATGCTAATAATGTGTACAAAATTTTTAACCAAATCGCACATTTCCTTCGGGTGATAACAGTTTCGTAAATTTTAACCAATTTTACTGACCTGAGCATTAGGATCAACTCCCGTGTGTAAAAGCCATTGTAGACAATGAGGGTGTCCAGCAAAGGCAGCTATGTGGGCTGGAGTCTGCGTAAAGCGAGAAGTTGTCATTCCAGGGTGTACAGCCACTCCACTACCCACACCACTTACTAGGACTCGCAAGCACTCCAGCTGTAACATAATACAATAACTATAGTACAGTGAACTTTAAAAAATCTGTCTAAATATACAGTACAAATAACAAAAGGACTGACAGTGTGAGCCAAATTTGGCTCTAAAATAAATCTTATCTGATGAAATCTTCCTTCCTCTACAACACACACATGCATAAAGTACACACATGAAAAGAAATCCATAATTTAAACATGGAACTACTGTAATATTCTTTCATAAAAAAATAGCAGATTGCATAATATGATAGCAAGATACTGTAGTCTTTATTCAGAGGAGTGTGTGTGTCCTGTATTCTGGGGTCTGAGGCTATAATGAATCAACTATCACAATTCATTTAACTAGTCTAGGTAGTCAGCCAAAGTTCCATTGACCCCACCCTGGCTCTCGTACTTGCAATTTTACCTGACAATACTTAGTAAAGTAAGGTTGTATGTAAACGGGTTGTGATTGGTGGATCTATTTTCGATAAATTAAACAATCCAAGCTTAGTATTTTTACAGTAATAAACTATTCTTCGTTATTTAAGATCACAACAAGTTTCTAAATGTTTGTATAATTGCTGAAATAATGAAGCCAATTATATTTATGAAATGGCAATGCAACTCAGGGCTGCCACAAGATTCTCACATCAAATTTCAAAAGTACATGTTCCACACCGATTTTAATCTCGAATTGTCTTTACTTGTCAAGTCAGATCAAAATTGTGCAGATTTATTTAACACTCCCGCAAGACGCTCGTGGTTTGGCCTGTTATTCATCTCACCTCACTTGACTTCAATAATTTATGATCTGAATACAATTATATACTTTTACTTTTATCCTCTTCGCCACTGATCGGCTTGTTAGCCGCTTGGGCGATCAGTCACGTCTCTGATTACTTTTCCTTTTCATTTATCTTCTTCACCAAAAGATCGGCTTGCTAACCGTCCGGGCGATCGGTCACGTCTCTGTCACGCACTGTTGGCAAATACTGGGCATGCACCGGCTCCTGAATGTACCTGAACCCGCTCCAGTGTTGGTCAAGTCTTGTCTTGAAAGAGCTCACACTCAGTGCCGTCACAACACTCTCTGGTAGATTGTTCCAAGAGTTTACAACCCTCACTCCGAAAAAGTTTGCCCTCACGGTTTTCTGGACTTGCGGCTTCTTCAATCTTGAGCTGTGCCCCTTGTGGGGCGAGCGTCCGCCAGCTCCAAGTAAGGACACTCAACTGAATAGTGCCCCCTGAGATGCTTATACACCTCAACTAGGTCCCCCCTTGCCTGTCTGTAGTATAAGCTAGGCACGTTCAGGCGCTCCAGTCTCTCAGGGTAGCTGAGGTGCCGAAGTGCAGGCACCAGTCTGGTGGCCCTCCTTTGAACATTTTCAACCAACTGACAGTCCCTAGCATATCACAGGGACCAGATGGGGTGACAGTACACCAGATGGGGAAGCACTTCACTCCTGAAGATCGTTACGAGGGACGGACCGTCTAGATATCTGAACGACCTTCTTATAAGACCCAATAATTTATTTGCCTGATTTACCTTCTTCTCGCAATGGCCCGAGAACTTCAGCTCATTGTCAACATACACTGAGGTCCTTCTCACATTCAGTCTCAAATAGTGCAGTTTCTTCATCCCGTTGGGACATACCCCCTGTATTATGATACGCCTCCTTACCGTTGGTAGTACCAACTTGGTACGTATGTTTAACATTCGTCAGGTGACTGTAAAGTAGCTGCTTTGTCAGTCTACTTTAGTCCATGCGGGTAACATGGCCTCGATGCTCCTACAGTTGGTGTCAGCGAGAATTCTGGCATTTGTTCTCTTGTCTTCCCAGCGAACTCGGAGGATGGAACGTAGACTACGTTGGTGAAAAATTTTAAGTGCCTTGAGGTGCTTCCTGCATGTGACACATGTCTCACTGCCATACAGCAGGGTTGAGAGGGCCACTAATCGAAATATGTACAGCTTTGTAGATAATTTCAGCTCCCTACAGCCACACACACACACCTAACTTCCTAACCAGGGGGCTCCACCTCTAGGTCGTTTGCGAGGGAAATGCCATAGAAGTATCTTAGAATTGTCTAAACTATTGTTTACAAAGAAAAATAATGAGATTCGGTTTGTGGCAAGAAATGTAATAATAGCTTAGATTTTTCCTAGTTTTCTGATTTTCAACTCACGATATCTCGGTTATACTGTAGGTAAAATGCGACAAAAGTGTCAAAGAAAATCATCTTGCTTTTGTCTGAACCTATTATTAAATAAAACAAAACCCCGCCAATTTCAACTCCCAATATCTCCCAAGACCGCCAGTGTCGTAGATGAAAATCGTCTTGATTTTGTCGGAACTTATTATTAGCAATAATAATAAAAAAATCCAATAACGAATTATATCCCCTACTATAAATTGACCATGAAAAGTCATTGTTTTTTTAAGAAATAAAGAAAATATAAAGTAACGAAGAATAAAAATACAGATTCCCTGGCCATTGACTAATCGCCAACCGGCAAGTAGTAACTGACCAATAGCCTATGTCGTGCCATTTCTTACTAATAAGGGTTCGTCTTCAGTATCTTACCCCGGTCACCCGAATAGTTTGTGTTGTGTTATGAATTATTCTTACTCCTATTATTATTATTATTTTTATTTTATCATTACTCCGCATTATTATTAAACTGGCTACATCCTTCTGTTTAGCCTTATTAGTCTCGACTGAAATTTGGTATGGCACTTGCCAGGTTAGAGTTCCAGATGGTTTACGTCAATAACACTGGTTGATGACGTCCATAACACTAGAAGCTAGCCATTATTACACACAATGAATAAATAAAATAAACAGGCGAAGCAAAAGAAAGTGGAGAAGATAAGAGACAAGGAGGTGAATGTGAGAGCCAGAGTGAGGTAAGGGTTAGTGTTGCTGCAGGTGCATCTACATGTTCACTGGCCACCAACACATGGCACTGATAAATAAGCAGATATAAATTTCTTCCCACTACAAACTCCCAACGCCCTTTCCTTCCTGGTGGTGCCTCAACCTCCCTGCCTCCGCACCAGTAAATTTATTCAATTTAGTATTTTGCCTCAAGTTCTTTGCTTTCTAACTTTCTACATTCTCCCCCAAACTTTACGGTGAAAGTGGTCTACAAAATTTGATGTACTGTATATACTGTCTTGTGGTGAGCGAAAGCGGACATAAGGTGGTGATGGTAAAAATGAATGGCAAGGCGTGGTGAGACAGATAATTAGGTTTGGACCGTGGAAATACAGAGTACCAACACACCCTGGCACAGCACAACCAAGAGTGGTGTGGTATTTAGAGTGGTGAGGGCCCAGGCAGCACCACCACACCCTGGCACCCTAGACTAGAGGGTGGCGCTAACCTTGACTCATCACCTGGCAACACATTTCCTACGCATTTAGATGCTCTTTTATTTACTTACACGTGAACTCTTGTGATATTGGTAGCCTCACTACCCATCACATGGACCCGTTGGTAACACACACACACACACTAACAGTGACCAACCTGTAGTATGTAGGGGCCTCAATAATGCTCTAACTGCCCAATATACCGGCAGAAACTTCATTTAAAAAGAAAAATGCAACCATCTATTTATGATAATCACTTTTCACTCCTGTACATGAAAAAAGTATCAGACTACAAATAAAGATCGTTCGTGGTTATTTCCTATCCGTCTGACTGTGCTTGCCTCAACTCAGAGGACAACGGGGCACTTATTCAAGAGATGAATAACCAGAGAAGTTCTACACCTCGTCCTGTCCCACCACACTGTGGTCCTCTCTCAACCATTCATTAATTCCTCTCACAAGAATGAAACCCAATAAATATTTTTCCTCTACAAATTCACTTGTATCAGTCCTATTAAATGAGAGAACATTTATGTATACAAATGCATAAATAATAAGCGTATATCATTAATCGAGTGATTCGGTTCGATGATCACTGACCGCCGCCGCACGAGCAACTGTAGCACGTAAGACAGGGTGGCATAAAGTCTACTTCCCAATAGTATACGGAATCGTCATACCCTTGAACGCTCAGGTGTGCATTTGTATGTTGCTGGGGAGGGCAATAACCCGCACGTGTGTGTGTGTGTGTGTGTGTGTGTGTGTGTGTGTGTGTGTGTGTGTGTGTGTGTGTGTGTGTTATTTGCACGACAGAACGGTTCAACCACGGAAATACCTCGTGCGTTAGATACATTACTCCCTTTTTTCGAGGATTAGTAATACAGATGATCTCCCATAATCTGTACTCAACGGCGCTCACACACGACCCCCATATCTAGGCACCTTTCGCTTATTCTGGAATATCACCAATAAACTAAGGTACAATACAGTTTTAATTGGTGGTATCTTCAATGAGTTAATAGTTCGTGATTAGTCTTTCTGTGCATATCATCACAAGGCCGTGGTCGGGTGTGAGGGGAGGGGGGAGACGAGTTTGGTAAAGATCATACGCTGGTTTTAGTAACCACCGGATTTCTAGTAGTTGCCGCGTCATGGTCAACCCTCATAATTACACCCAAGACGAACTTGTTCTTGTCCTGCCTCACTTCTCCATATTCTCTGGTAATACTTGCACAAGACCCACGTGGCTGCTATCAAAGTCTATGGAGTCCTATAGACTTTGACTGCTCTAAGCAAATCACGTCCTCGGTAACCCACCGAGAAAAAGTTATATTGTACTGCATTTTGCGAATCCGATGTCATATTCGAATGTAATTAGTTAGAGACATCGAATTAAATTATTTTCTCTTGAAATATTAATTAAAGCTAAAACACCACATGATTTGGATCTGATTCAGAACATAAAGCCTTAAAATAGAAGATCGCCTTGGAGGGTGGCCCAGGTGACGGTCCACCACTGACGGGGTTAGCGTGGGCGGGGAGACGAGCCTTGCGGACCCACTCTTTTATACACACACACACACACACACACACACACACACACACACACACGCGCGCGCGCGCGCGCGCGCGCGAGCATCAT